AATTAGCTTAATATGGTTAAAATTTTAACTTATATTACCATTTTTAAAATTTACTGTTTGTAGACATGAGAAACCATAGCACAGTTTACATTTTTTTTCTTTTTAACAGCCTTTTCTGACCTTTGACAACTTGCTTTAACTCTCTATAACCTTTTTTATATACTTTTAGTTCATTTCTCTGACTTTCTTAGACATTCTTAGACAAATTTCCTTTTTTCCTTTCCCTCTTTATTGTTTAAGTCTCCTACATTTTTCCTCATTCTTAGTCAACATAAAAATTTTTATCAAAGTCCCTTTTACAGTTTTTAATAACTTTAAGGCCGTTTTTTGTTTTTTTTGTTTTGTTTTGTTTTTGTTTTTTTTAAGAAGTCCAGATCAGGCCAGATAAGTTCATACATCCCAGCTCCATGTGCTCAAGGCAGAGAGACCTGGGGTGGGGGTGCTGCTGGTAACCCCAGACCCTTGGCCAATCCAGGGGTGGGAAAAAGACTCCTGCGGCCCCCCTGCATACCATGTGTGTGGAGCACAGAAAGACGGGCAGCCAGGCAGATAGCGGCCTTGCAGCCATGTTCCCTCAGAGCAGGGAAACACCCTCGGCAGGCAGGACGGCAGCTGGGGCAGAAACAGCCCCACTTGGCAAGCCTCACAGACCCGCAGGTGGGGATAGAAAGGGGATGGCGTGGTGGATCCTGAATTGAAAACCAATGATGATAACACAGAATAGACAGGAAAGAACAGACGCCAACCCAATCCGTTGGCGCCGCTTGTAAGGCAATGGCGCCGGGAAGACGGGTGGCAGAACCCAGCGGCTAAATCATCGCTAACTGAGGAGGATCCAAGTCCTTGGCCTCAGTTTGTACCTCCTGGGTGTCCTCAGCGCAGCAGTCTGTCCTCTGGGCATCTGCCGATCACAGATGAGGTGGCGCCACGTGCTCAGAAAAAGACCCCTGACCCATGCATGCCATGTGCATGGGCAGTAGGGACAGAAAGAGATGCTTAACAAACACACAACACAAATATGAAACGTGGACAGACATTAGACAGCACAAACCGCGGCAAAGAAATGGTGCCCCAAACTAAAATTACAAACAACCCTTGAACTTTCGTCCAGGCCGGAACCAAGGGTTCCAGAAATACGTCTATTTCTGGGCCAGCATGTCTGCTTACCCTATGGTTCAATTCAAATAACCCTCAGACTTTCGTCCAGGGTGGGACTTCAGGGTCTCGAAATACGTCTGTTTCCCCCTGAGGTCCGAATTCCAAATACCAGTACAAATTACAAATACAAATTACAAATTCTGCGCAGGCTCAGATCAAATTCAAGTCATGGCACCAAACCAACAAAACAGCAAATTTAAATTCAAGTCATGGCACCCCTGTGATAGAATTGCATATGCCAGTGATATTTTTAACAAAAGCAATGTGACCTGTGAAATTAACCCAGATACAAAGAAAAACATCATTTGAATAAGGAAAGAATAAGAACAATTGTTAGACCCCCCGGAAAACTCAGGTATCCGGGGTCCCAGGCCACGTTCTCAGTCACTCCAATCACCAGGCGGATTCAAGAGCTTGATGCAAACTGCACGAGGCTTTATTGTAATTTAACTAGCTAACCCCATGTTAGCTCGGGTCTTTCACCCACCCGCCATGGCGGATGGCTAGCAAAAGACGGCTCCTAGGGCCTCCCAAGAGATCTTATAGGACAGCGTAAGGCGAGTGTCTAGGGGTACTCACAGGCTCACGATTGGTGTGCCTCCAGGCTTGGAGGGCTTGCCCTGTGTTGATTGGTCAACTGGTTGTTATGGTCCATAGGCCCTCCCAGGGTGGTTGCTATACTATGTGTGTCATTGCTATGCGCTTGTCTGTAAAGCACACCCAGGGTTGTAAAGCATAGCGCCACCAGCTAACTTCTGATTGGTTCCTTGTCACAAGGCAGGCATCTGACTTTCTAGTGTCTAGGACAAGGTCATAGAAGCACGTGTTCAGCCATTATGGCTGCCAAAAGGGAAGCTGGTCGCTTCACAATCATTTGGAATGAGGTGCTGATCTTGTTTTAAAAAAATACACATGTACAAAGAATGTGGAAACACACATTAATGCTATTATGTTTTTCTTTCTCCCCAGGTGTGGTCGCTCTCCTATCTACCGCTCCCGTGAAATGGCAGCTCGTGCATTGGTACCCTTCATTACCATAGACCAAATACCAAGCACCCTCCACGCTCTTCTAGACTCACTCCCCAACAGCACTGACCAATGTTTCCGACAAAACCATATACATGGGACACTTCTACAGGTAAGTAGAGTGACTCTGTGTGACTTCAGAACAACACAAAATGAACTTTGGGTTCTAGCAGGTGAAGACTTCTTATTTCTACTTCTTAGTTACCAGCTCTCTCCCAAATATGATTTCATACACTGATTGGGAGGATTATCCTGTGCATTAGATTCCGCAACATGCTTTTCCATAAAGTATGCCTGAAGAACATTATGGGCCACTCATTGTTCAAGGCTGTGATGGTTTGCATGAGGAATGCCCCCCTATTGTGTAGGGTATTAGAATGCTTGGTCCTCCATTGGTGACACTGGATTGATTAGTCTTGTTGGAGGAAGTGTGTCACTGATGGGAGGCTTTGAGAGTTAAAAGACTCACACTGTTTATAGTTTGCACTCTGCTTCTTGCTTGTGGTTTAAGATGTAAATCCTCAGCCTCCTGCTCCTACCACCATGATGTCACTCTGCCATCAAGGTTCTTAACTCGCTGGAACTGTTAGCCCAAATAGACTCTTCTATAAGTAGCCTTGGTCATAGTATTTTATCACAGCAGTGAAAAACTAAGCCATCTTGCTGGCTCTTGTTTTAAGTAAATATAGAAGTTTGTTGTTCTTTGTACTTAATGAGAAGTCATTGCAGTTTCCAGTTTAAAACCCTAACCTGGGAACAGGTAGTAAAATCCTTTATTCACATGGCTGTTGTGAATGCTCACCTGGGCTGGATGGGAACAGATTTAAATTCAGGACTTGTTACTAGATTATAAGCAGAGTGAGAGTTGGCCTTGAGATCCCAGGGCATATTGGCAGCACGTGAAATGGTTCACAGTATGGGATTCTAGAGAGGGACTACCTGGTTCTGCATTAGGTATCCACTCTAAACTACCTGCACATCTGCGTCTTTGTTCTGAAATCAAAGACTAAATCAGTTAGTGCATATAAAGTGCTTATGTACCTGGTCTATAATGATATGTACAGATGGTTATTATCACAGTTTTAATGAGCCTGCCCTATGGTGAAAACTAATTCCCTGTAGGTGAAATGACAGGTACATCTGTGTTCTGACTTTGTTCCTTGGTTGTTTATATATTCAGTAAAGATTTTACTGAATGCCTACTACATACTGTTGTGTCATAGTCAGAACAGTGATTAAGTCATTCCTGGCCTGAACAGCATAAAGATCAGAAAATAGGTCAACCCAATGTAGCCTGCTAAGTGCTGGGTGCAGGGCCATCAGACTTAGTTGGAGAAATCGTGGCAAGCATTACAAAGCAGGTGACAGTTAAACAGAGGCTAAAAGTATTTAATCAGCCATGGTGAAGAAATCTTTTGTGCAGAAAGAATATTACAGAATAACGTAGACAAGAAGCAGCATGCCTGGGGCGACAGCTTTGGGCTAGATGGAAACTCCACTTCAGGGGTTCTCAGGACTTAACACACTTGAAATAATAGAAGGTCCCAAGCGGGTTTTACCTTTCAGTATTTAATTCAACACTAAACTGAGGTAATATCAAGACATAGGAACCCAAAGCACTTACTCCTTTATCACCAGGGAAGACATCCTCACATCCCTTGTAGACCCCAGCAAATTCATGAGCACATAATTAAGAAAAAGTAGAGGATACTGTTTTCTGAGTGTCTTTTGAAAGTAGTTTGATTATACGGGCCTCCTTAGAAGAGTGTACCCACACAGACACACACACACACACACACACACACACACACACACACACAGAGTCTCAAAGTGCACCTCAGATCATCTGCTCCATGTTGTGTATATTACAGGGTTTTGTGGTTTCTTTTGTTGGGAGCGAGATGCATTTGAGGGCAGGGGTTCATGCCCCAGCACCCAGGCGGCAGTCAGGGGACAGACACCTCAGATGCCAATCCTCACTTTCCTCCTTGTTTGAAAAGAATCTCTTGTTTTTCTGCTTTGTACACCAGGTGCTGGCCCACAAATTTGCAGGGCTTATTTCCTTCTTCACCATGGTCTGTGCCTCTGGATTTTACCTGGGACTGTATTCAAATCAGGTCCTTGAATTTGTGTGGGGGCACTTTTACCCACCAAACCATCTTTCCAGTCTCATGTGATTCTTATTACTACACCTCTGGTCCTCACTTCATCCCTTTGTTAAAGAGAGGCATGAGTTATCTTAGCCTTGGAGACAGGCCATATCGACCCAGAGATCATCATTGGCTTAGTCAAACAAGTTAGATCTATTGGGCCCCAACTCTGCTTCTGTTTCAAAGGAAACAGACTAGTGACAAGGAAAGTAGCAAAAGAGAATCTTGAAAGTGTACACTGTAGGGAGTCCTATGGAATGTCCAAAGCATCAAAGGTTGTAGCCATAGGCTGGAGAGTTCTTGCAGAAGTATTATTGAGGGAGCCGCTTCTCCTTTCTTTCTCCACTTGCACCAATGGGCCTCTTTAACTATCTGCCTCCTCCCTCATGGCAGCCCCTGGCTGTTGGACCAGTCTGCCCAGCAGCCAGACATGATCTTCCCCTCTGAATATGCCTTTCATATTCTCAGGCTCATTTTGTTGACTGTCATGTGAAACTCTGGAAAGACAAAAAGTCCCCAACTCTGGGCTTGTACTGTTATTCCTCTTGTTCCTAAGTGTTGATGAAAGGCTTATGGGGGGTGAGGGACATAGCTGGGTCCTGGGCATTTACTGTGCTGGACTAACAGACTCCTGTATTTGTCAAGGTTTATTTCTCTCTGGCTGAGAAGAAATCAGCCATGGGTGCTGTCTTCTCATCTGTCTGGACTGTTGACAGTGTCTCTTCAAGGAGAACATCTAAGGGGTTAAGTTGGAGAGGAATCTTGAGCTTGTAGGTTCTTCTACACATAAAGCTATCTTTGAAACCAGCAAATACTTGCACTTGGAAAAGAGCTGTTAGGGACTAAGAGGAGTGATACTCTCCATGGGACCTTCAGAGCCAGCTAAGTAAATACAAAACTGTTAGTTTTTCAAGAGCAGGAAATCATTTTGTAATCAGAAAACAAATTCTTTCACAGAACATTTTCTTGAATTATACATTTTGACTTCTTTGAAGATGTTTGCATAAACATATCAAATCTCAGAGTATTTCTTCAGTATACCTTAAAAACAAAAAATGTGCTGATCCCCGGGTTTCTGAGACCAGGAAGGTTTCAAATTATAGGGCATGCAGAATAAGAATGTGTGGGTACATTTCCCAATCATTTCAAAACCAGGGGTTCAGAATGGCGGTGCTGAAGTATAAGGAAATGGGGACATTAGGGAAGGTGAGATTGTACAGCAGGTTCAAAGGGCTCAGAGTACATGACATTAAATCTCAATAAAGGCCAGATAAGAACCATGGACATTACCTCATTTGGGAGCAACACTGGCAGGGTCACCCGTCTTTTAAGTAGAATTAACTGTCTGTTTTTATTGCCAAAATTCCTCATGTTCAGCACTTAGTGTTATTACTAGGTTACTTATCACCCCTAAGAAGTTGCAGCACTGTTCAGAAAGTTCACTTGTTAAGACAGAGGAAAGGCTTGTTCCGATTCCTGTGTATTTAGCTAACATGTTGATGTTCCATAAAGAAACCTTCAACATCTGAGGGAGAGTTTGAGTGTTGGCTTTGTTTGCCCACCATGTCTTTTGCTCATTTTTCTGATGGTATAATATAAAAGATGAGCCTTTCTCTGATTGTTTAAAGCTGGGTAATATAGCTCGTTGGAAAGTAAGAAAACCATTTGTGTATTTATCTGAATATTCTCGGCAAGTTTTTTTCTTCAGTCTAAATAGTAACTCAAGTGCCATTCATCCCTTGGTGTGAGAGCACAAACTGCATTTCCTAACAACTGAAACCAACTCATTTCTTTCTGTTTTACCAACAAGAACATGTCAAACACTCCTGTGTTTGTTTGTTTGTTTGGATGGATGGTTGGTTTTCTTCAGTTTGGTGACTTGATTTCTCTACTTTGAGAATTCCCAGATTGAAAAAGTCTTCTTTCCTATCCATGGAACTCAGTGACTGTGCTGCCTATGTGGGTGTTGCAACATACTAACCAGAGATGGGCTTCTGGTGGCCTAGGTGGATGACTTAGTTTCCCATGAAAGGAAAAGCAACATTTAGAGCATTTGTGATTTTATTGTGTTCTTAGCAAGCCTACAGAGTAGCAAGACTTTGTTCATCCCTCCCCACTAGCTCCCTTCTGCCCAGCTGACTTAACCCGGAATGGTGACTTGTACGGAGGCACAGAGGTAGTCAACAGTAGAGATGTGCCTAACTCCAAAGCCCGCGTTCTTTCTCTTTATAACGTGCTTCCTGTCTGATAGTTGACGATAGTTTTACTTGTTACTGGGTGGTTGGTCTCCTGGAATTCAGTGGAAGCAAAGTGAGACCACCTGGGCTTTAGAGATGGGTGGGGGGTCGTAAAACCTGGAGAAGATACAGTGGAAAAGATGCATCGTACCTTCTCTCAATCCACTCATCTCTTTACTTTTTCTCCCAGACTGTTCCTAAGTCACAGTAGCCACACCCTCTCTCATCCTGATACCTTGGACTTGAGCAGCAGCAGGAATGATGGATTTAACTGGAGGGTGGGGTACGAGGAACTGGTGAAGACCGAGTTTAGTAAAGCAAACACAGCATGCCTGTGCTGTTTTAGGTGCTGCCAGAGTTCCAGGAGTAGTTTGCCCCTGGGGCTCTTCCCTCCCAACATAGGGAACTCTAGGTCTAAAGTCAGTGAGCTCCCTGTGGGCAGGGATGGAGGATGCAGTGAAGATGAGGTGGAAGACGGACAACCGGGTGGCTGTGGACATGAAAGAAGACATGAATGAGGCCCTGGCTGCTTGAGGCAGGATCTCCACACAGATGAGAACAGTAAAGCGGGACTGTGGCAAAGGCAGCGTGAGGACTGAAAAGGAGGAGGATCCTGGAATCACTGTCTTGAAAAGAAATGTAGGAACCTGGAAATCAATAAAGGTGGACGTACCAAGTTAGCTAACTGTGTGAAGCAGCTGCTCTTTCCCCAGTGCTTTCCCCAA